TAGTTTCTATAAGGAGAGGTGGAAAGTGTTTTTCTTTTTTTTAACTCCACTGCTAACTAACCAGAAACTGACAGGGTGACTCATCAGCCGAATCCATTAATCTCAGCAGAACAGAAAGATCCAGATGGATTGAAAGGAAACAGGTCAGTCCTTCCCCAGAGTTAACATAAGGACTCTTCAGTGCAGGGTAGCAGGTTTTACATTTATTTTTGGCTGAGGAAGTATAGGTCATATTCTATGTTTTATTTGAGGATTACTAAAATAATGAACAATGCAGAGGCAATTCTCTTGTTCTTAATTTTTAATGATTTAAGCACAATACAAATCTTAAAAATATATATGAATGTTTTCAGTCTTTATAGTATAAACAGGACAGTAATAGTGAATTTCGCTTTAGCACGCACACACACACACAAGCTCGCACACATGCACCCAGACCTTCTGTTTTCCTATGACATTTTTATTGATTCCCTAGCAAAGTTCTCACAATAAAATTCTATAAGCTTTCTTTAAGAGAGTGAAATCGGCCTTATCCAAGACTGTTTTCTCTTTCCAGGAGGAACAAGGGGTTCTGGTCGGGTTGGTGTAAACAACACGAGGTTGGGTTTGATAAATTTGGTTGAAAGTTTGGATGTTTCTTTTCTTTTCAGACTTGCTTGGGAAATTCACGTACTCTCTCAGAAACTCAGCTTACTTATCCACAAATGAGGATCCTAACCCCTGACCCAGGGTTGTGAGGATCATATCAGACGGCAGAGGACATTGAGGAGCTGTGAGCTGGGCCTTGTGGTGGATATCCAGCCATGCCTGTTCTTTTGTTTCTTTAGCCATCTCTGATGGAAAAGAGAATGAAGTGAAAAGACAGAGGCTGTAAGTGAAGACTTGAGTCTCCCAGAAGCAAGATCTTTCAAGATGTAATTAACCTGGTTTCGTCTCATAATAGTAGTAAAAGTCAATGATGAGAGAGTCATTATAAAGGAGAACTGGCTACTGTATGGAGGAACTTAAGTGGCTGACCGTAAGGGGATTCATGAGCTACAGAAGACATCAGTACAGGAAAGAAACAGGGGCCTGAACTTGCTGTACTAAGAGTGATCAAGTACTCAAGGGGCCCCATTGTGATTTCCGTAAGCCTGTATATTTCAAGGAAGTCACAGGAAAGTAGTCCCACTCCCCAGCCTTCTGTTTTCCCACACTTGGACCCCTCAGCTCTCAGGCCATGTTTCAGATAGTGACCCAGGCATGGTTAGGGGTGGCCAGTGGATGGGTGCTCGCAGGGCAGTTCTGACTGGTAGCCTGTTTCCTGCTAACTCCACCCAAGAGCATGTCCAGTAGCATTTGAGTTCAGGGTAATGGAAGAAATCTGAGTTCAGCAGTTAGTGGACAGCAGTAGCATGGAGGCAATTGTCATAATCTGCTTAAAGTAAATATAAATAAGATGTACATGAAGCCCTATCTTTGCTCGCTGCAATTCCAGAGCCCGTGAGGTATTCTAATATCAGAAACCACCCACCAGTTCTCCGCCATATGCACAGCTGCCAGGATCCTGTAAATCACACCTTCCCGGAGCACAGGACCTATGCAATGTCCCATGCGAGGTTCTGTGTGAAAAAGTGAAAATACAGAAGCCTTGGTAGCTCTTCAAAATATCTGTAAGAATAGATTTCACCACATAATTCAGTCTAAGTTATGTCCAGTGCCCAGCAGAATGTTATATAGAAATATTCAGTAGCATTTGCAATTGAATGGAATAGCCCTTTATATTGTTTACTGCCAGATGGGTGTTTTATTATTTCATCCTTATTTTTTACGTAGGAGATGGTTAAGGCAAAACATGATGTCGATTCTATATTCTTAGCTCTTCAGAGTTGAATGCATATTGGATGTTCAAATAAAAACTCTGTGTATCCCCAAGGGAATATATCCCCTGGAGCACAGCACCATGAAAATTTGTGTTGCTAGTTCCAACTCATCTGGAGGTACAAACAGGGGTGTTATCTTAATTTCCTCGAGAACTAAGTTCTAGAAAACTTGGACCTTGGTTTATTGCCATCCATAGCCAAGTTTATTATTAATGTGCTACTTTCTATTTTATGTGACAAATATTTTCCTTAAAAAATTCTTATAGAAGCCAGCCNTTAATTTCCTCGAGAACTAAGTTCTAGAAAACTTGGACCTTGGTTTATTGCCATCCATAGCCAAGTTTATTATTAATGTGCTACTTTCTATTTTATGTGACAAATATTTTCGAAACTTAAAAAATTCTTATAGAAGCCAGCATCCAAATGGGAGAGGATGAGTTGGGGAAATATTAGGAAGTAAAATAAAAAAATATTTCCCTATAGCTTGAAGGAAAATGGTTCAGAAAGAGGGTATATGGGAGAGAATTTAGATGACTTTTCTTTCAGATTATAAAATTTGATTGATTGATTTGATTGATTGATTAAACTTATTAGGGTTACAAAAATTGTGGTATATTTTATTTCATTTTTATGTTTTATTATTTAAAATATTTAAATTATAGTTGATATTCAATGTTATTCTATATTACAATGTTATTCTATATTAGNTCATTTTTATGTTTTATTATTTAAAATATTTAAATTATAGTTGATATTCAGTGTTATTCTATATTACGTTCAGTTGTATGATATGGTGTTAGACATTTATATAATTTACAAAGTGATTTCCAGATAAGTCTAGTACCCACCTGGCACCATCCATACTTATTGCAGTATTATTATTATTAATTTCTTAAAATATATTTTAATTGATTTCAGAAAGGAAGGGAGAGGGAGAGAGAGAAACGTCAGTGATGAGAGAGTCATTGATCGGCTGCCTCCTACACACCCCCTGCTGGGGATCGAGCCGGCAACCCGGGCATGTGCCCTGACCGGGAATCGAACTGTGATCCCCTGGATCCTAGGTCGATGCTCAACCGCTGAGCCACGCCAGCTGGGAGCAATATTATTGACTATATTGCACTATATTATTGACTATATTGACTATATTGANATATTATTGACTATATTCCCTGTGCTGCACGTCCAAGCTCCTGGTTTGAGTAAATGGTTGTATCCTGTGGCTCCTCACAAAGTGAGATTAGGAACACAAAGGAGAAGTTTCTGTGCCTCCTGAGGAATGTCTCCATGGGTTAATTGTGGTTTTTGAAATAGGTCTGGGACGTGGAAATGCCATGACTAAAAGACATTTTTAAAATTTAATTTTACAAATATTTGCTAAGTTGTCAACAGGTGCTCGGCTCCGTGCCACCTTCCCCTGAGTCTGATGCTCAAGATAATGGTCAGGAATAGAAATATGGACTTAAAAGTTATCCATTTAAACATCATAGTCAAACCCAAGGCTCAGGAGGCAGATTAATGAGCATTTCTTGAGAGAGAAGAGACCAGGGGCTGAAAGGGCAGAATCTTGGGGATGCTGATATTTTAGTGGTTGATGGAAGAGGAAACTGGAAAGGAAAATGCGCTAGAGTGGTGACTGCAGACAAGGAAATGAGAGTAAAACTGTAGACGCCAAGGAGGTAAAGAGTGAAGATACAAGTAACAGAAAACAATCATTATGAGGTTATATTATATTTGTCAGAGAAATCTAGTAAGTGATGAGAAACATGCCTTGGTGATCCGAAGCTCATTGATGAGCTAGAGAAGTGTCTATGGACTGGCCTGGCCAGAACCTATGGAGGGCAGCTTGAGACGTGAGATCGGAGACAGAACAGATGGATACCACAGCTAGACACTTCGTTTTATTTAGGCACTTCGTTTTAAATAGGAGAAAGAGTATATTTAAAAAAAAAATCCGAGAAAGATCTTTTTCTGAGAATGTTAGACATTAAATATTTATATGTTAGGCAGAAAGATATCCAAATGGGACTGGTGAAATATAAAGAAAAGACAGAAAGTATGGATGAGTCTTTAAGTTTTGAGGGGACAGGGGCAAGAACACAGGTGGAGTGGGTAGGAAAATGGGTACCCTGTCGTTAAGATAATCCTTACAGAAAAGAGGGCAGACATTGAGGAACTTTACACCTGGTCAGCTCTCCATAATTCACCTATATTTAAATGCAAGTACAATCTCTTTTCTTTCTCATACGGTTATTAAGGAAAGAGCGAACACAGTTGAGTCTACACAATATACCCAGTACTGTTCTAAGCCAGTACCATTATTATTTAATGCAATCCTTAAGCCCCCTCTGTGTGGTGGCAGTGCCCCCACCCCTCCCCCGCCTCTTCTTCGTTTTTACCTGATGAAATCACTGAGGCACAGGCATTTTTAAAAAAGTGTCCAATGTCACAGTTAGTAAGAGGAAGAGTCAGAATTTGACCCGAGGCAATTGACGACAGAGCCAGCACTCCTAATCTGAGAATTTATGTATATCATCTCACTTAATTCTCAAATCAGCCCGAGGAGATATTCACTGTTGTGCCTCCAAGCTATTGTTTACTTCTTAAGTCTGATTCAGAGCAAGACACAATTCCTGTGCCCCAGAGCTTAGGGGTTTTTCTGAATCTTAGGGAAAAGATTGTAAATCATGACGGTTGGAAATGGACATGGCTTTGAGCTTGTTTCACTAACCAGGCATCCGGCTCTTTGAAGGCCAAAGGGAGTCTTAGGGTCATGGAGAGAATGTGCTGGAAGAGAGCAAGAGAAAGTTAAGACTTCGGGGGGATCCTGTGAAGGGGAAAGCAATACGGTGGGGCTGGGTGGGAGAACATGCAACCAAAATAAAAAATTCTAGTTGACAAATGCTGGTGAGTTTCTAAACGATAATTTTTTCCGAATGAATAATAAATTGTATATTTTACCTCCCACATACAGATGGCTTGAATGTTTTAATTACTGAGAAGCTGATGTAGTGGTATTAATGATAACGTTTGAATAAAAAATTACCTGTCATTCCACCATCCCAAGAAAGCAATTACTTTTATATTTTGTGTATATCATATGTAGTCTACGTGAAAGATAAATTTTATTGTCTACTTCTATTAAAATAGCGACATGAACACTACCCATGTTGCAACCTAGCATTGCGGCATTGCTTTAATGAGTCCATCATTTACCCATCAAGTAAATGCAAGTTTGGAATTAGGCAGTTTGGATATTTCTTTATTTTATTTTATTTACTATTGTAACTAACTCTGCAAAGTGATTTCTTTAGGATACATTCTCATGAAAAGGGTTAGGTTAGAGGGAATGAATGCCTTTATGATTTTTGGTACAGACTAGGTACTGTGGTCTTGTATTTTAAAATACATTTTCATTCAATGTATTTTAAGCCTTTTTGCCCTTTTATTTGCTCTTGGACAAATACTCCCGTGGTCCTCACACCTTCTGTGGGAGACCAAGAGAAGACAATTCAAGGGCAGATGTGTTGTTGTCACGAAGGATTTCTGAGACTAAAGCAGAAACAAAGAAGAATCCAAAACTAAAGAATCCGAAGAAAGACACAGAATCCTTGTGTGTCTCTGTTCTTGCTCCCACCATGTTGAATCCCTCTGTTTATTGTTTCACCTTCCACACACGCCCTTCCAGCCACCTAGATGCTCTTGGACAAGGGGACAGGGGTTCGCGGATGCTCAGATCCAGCTCCGAGGATGTCCTAAAGAGCAGGTCCTCAATAGTAGGTGGCCGGGGAATGCGTGGGTGGGTGGGGCACAATATTTTTCTTTAGTATTTTCGTTAGTATTTTAGAAATTGAAATTATAATTTCCCTTGGGGATTTTGTCCCATGTTCTACCATTACTTCTCTACTCTCCTAGCAAAGTCCCCCTTTTTAAGTTTATTACAAATCAGTCAGTTTATGTAGCAAAGACTCGCTCATCGATCTGTTCTCTCTTGTCCCCTGATATCATCCATTCTTTACTACTTGGCTGAGTGAATGTAAGTAAGTCAGTGAGGGACTGTGAAGGCCCACAAATAAGGTGGTGACACAAGATGGAAGAACCAAGGTTCTGCCTGATGGAAAAGTGATGTGAATGTGTTGGAATGTGCCTTGATTGTGTTAAATCACAGAGGTTGACAAACTGGTAGTTCCTGCAGCTGGATGTGCATTGTCTTGACTAATACACAACACAGCGATGAGAACTGTTCAGAAGAGTCTGCTGAACACCTTACGATGCTCGTCACCAGGCCCGACGGCTGAAGAAATCTTTAAGGAACTCAAAACCCGGGACTGAGTCTCTGGCTTTGTTGCTTTGAGTGTGGAGGGCACTGGACTGCGAGCTTCTCTGCCTGATGATGTTGTCATGTATTTCCAAAATACCTGCAGAATCTGGGCTGCAGCATTCTGCATATAAATTGATAATTTTGCTTAGGTAAAAGGGCTTGGCAGCTTTGCCTTCTGAAATAAATTTTATTCTAGGAGTTTGCATTTTCTGCGCAATCATCTCTCGTCAACACTGTTACTCGGCCAAAGCGATTAGGTGCTAAGAGTGTGGACATAGCCTCTAGATCATTAAAACCCTTGTTTTGCAGCACAAATCATCTGAATTCAGTATCGGTAATGCCACGAGAGAGAAATGACTGAAATCCCCGGTGCCTGGTTGCTCAGAAGCTGCTCTGGGGGAAAGCCACCTCACATGAAGAGATCCGCCTCAGGTGGTTGGGTTGGAATTTAATTTTATCTAAATATGTGAACACTTTTAATAAGGCTCTGGAGGTATTATTATCTGGAAGTATGCAGAATCTTTATATTTGAAAAATGTTTTATTTTGCTTGATAGCAGGTAGAAAAGCCCTTACAGTGATTAGCATTTGAATAGCAGGATCATCTTAATACTCTTGTTATTAATATGACAGATTTTATTTTCCCAAGGGTGGCAATTGAACCCAATTTTCAGATCAGCTAGTCCCTGCATTTATGTGTATTAAACTTTCGCACCTTGCCCTTTGGTTCTGGGGTACATTGGGTCTCCTCCTGACCTGTGGGGTTCATGCATCAGTTGAAACACTGAAGTTAGAGGCTCAGTGTTTCCCTTGATAGGAAGACTTAGTTCATTCCCTCGGCTTTGGTGGCTGTCCACATGTTTTGTGGCCACAGGGACTCTGCACCCACCTCCAAATACAAATACAACAGAAGTATTTAGTCTTGGCTGCTGCTACGTGTCAGACATAGGGCCGGACACAAATCAGACTCCTGAGAAGTGCCACGGGCTCTCTCACTGCCAGCCATATCTGTGCCTTGGCCATTTATCCCTGCGAGCTCCCAGTTGAGTCCATACACGTAACGGGGCCCTCCTCTCTCCAGTCGCCTTTGAAGGGCCTCGCCTTGGCTCTCCTAACTCCTCTAGCCTTTGGGCAGCCTCTGTTCTGTACTCAGTAATACACCTACCACCCCGATGCTCTCACCCCTTTCTCCATCCTTTAAATCACTTTTCTTTCCATTTGCCTGAATCTTACCCGATCTTCAAAATGCAACTCAAGGCCTACCTCCTCAAAACCAGGGTAGAAACATCTAAACGTCCTGACAAGTAGTTGCCAGCTACTCTGTGAACGCTTCTGGGAATACAAGGCCACAGCACGGCCAAGCTGCCCTGCCCTGGCACAGGACACGCCAGCTGTATTGTCAGGGACACAGCGCTGACCACGGTGTTCACACATCTGCAAAGTGAGCACAGAGAACAAAGTGAATTATGTGCCACCACAGCTGGGTTCTACTTCTGTCTCAGTCACTCACCAGATAGATGACTTTGGCAAACGTAATTCTCCTTTTTGCAATTCAGTTTTACTTTTCTGAAGAAAAAAACAAAAAGAGAGAGAGAGAGAGGGAGAGGGAATGCCCCATGAGTAAACCGACTCCCACATAAAGCTGCTATCGGAAAACTTCATGTTTTTATAGTTTTCGAGTAGTGGAGTTTATATTCTTAACCCGATTTTGTATCAAAAATCACAGTGTGCCCTCTAACTTTGGTAAAAGTGATAGAGGTACTAGTCTCCACAAATTATTTATAAAGCATAAGATTCATAAAGAGGTATTTGTAAACTACACTTAAAAAACCAGTCTCATTATATTAGACTCACACTGCCCTTTAAATACGTCGCACGGTTCCTAGTACTCTCACAATAAATAACGCTTTCTCTCTTTAGATGTTTTTTGACAAATAGTTTTCTGTATATCAAATGGAAATACACCTAAATATAAGATTTAGGAGGAAACTTGTAATGGAGGAAACGGGGCGTGGCTTGTATGGGGTTTATTTTGGCAGATGGGGCTTTTCCCAAGGGAATGATGGCCTGGCTCCCGCCTCTCACGGACAGGGCCCTGCACACGGCTTAGGGGGTGCTGAGGTGTCGCTGCACTCGCCGGCCTCTGGGGTTTGTCCCTTTGAGAAGCAAGACGCTGGAGCGTTGGTGCCAGAATGAGAGCTGAGCCACAAAGTAGAAAGTCTTTGCACTGCAATGACCCTTCCGAACAGCCAACAGCGATTTTGCGGGGCATTTGGAGAAGCCCGTGCCCCTGGCCTGCAAGCACGAAAAGAAGGGGACATTCTTCCTTCTGGCTGGTCACAGGGAGAGTGAAATCTGCCCTTCGAGGGCAGGAGAGGAGGGGTCACCGTCCACCGTCTGCGCTGACAGTGACTGCTAACAGGCTGAGCTTTTGTCAGTCACACTGCCAGCCTCCCCCCTTCGCTGACAAAGACACTGACCTTTGGTGGACTTGGCTCACTAAAATAACGAGGGGTCAGAAGAAAATGTATTTGCATAATGTAGAATGCATGCGCCACTGTCGCAGAGGAATGTCATGTATATAAAAATGCTAAGCATTCTGTCCTTCTGGACTCAGAGAGTAACCTGAGGGGCAGCCACAACCAAATTACACCCCCAGAGCATGATTTGGATGCAGATCTGGTAGAGCTTTCACCCTTCTTTCGGCACCTCTGGGGCCCTCCTTGGTCCAGAGGAGGGGACATTACAGAGGCGGTGGGAAGAGCTTGAAGTTAGAAGGCAAATACTACTTTCACACCTGCTTATTAAGGTCCTTAGCCTAAATCATTTATTCTTTCTGAGCCTCAGTCCTGACGCATAAAATGAGGACAATGTTGTNCACCTGCTTATTAAGGTCCTTAGCCTAAATCATTTATTCTTTCTGAGCCTCAGTCCTGACGCGTAAAATGAGGACAATGTTGTATGTAGGATGACTATGTAACATTATAAACAATTTTTAAATTAGGATCTCGTGCAGATTTTTAAAATTATTAATACCACAGATCAAATATTTGTGCTATTTTAATTGGGGGCCTCTGAGAAGCAGACAGAAAGAAGGGTTTGCATGGGCGAGGATTCTGCCAGTGGCCTGCTTTGTGGGCGAGTGGGAGGGCGCTCGGGGCAGCTGGGGCGATGGCACAGCTTCACGCGGTGCCGCCCGAGGGGAGGAGGGGGAGGAAGTTGCCCTGGCTGTGTCAATGCCTGCTGTGCAGCCTAAGGTTTCGCAAAGGCACCTGTGGGTCTCCACTCCGAAGGTGCTTGTCCGGGGGTTCAGGTCCCCTGGGGCGGGGCCTGCCTTCGCCTCCCTGCTAACTCAGCCACCGGCCAGGGAGGGTGGCCATGGGGGAGGCACCGATGGATGCTAAGCACAGGCCTGTTAGTATATGCACATATTTATGTCACTCGTTACCCAAGCTTCGCACTCGCTACGGTCGACCCTTCTATGCTCCTGACACTGAAGTTTCAGTCTTAGCTCCTCAAACGTATCGAAAGGTCTCCGAGGCAAGGACCGGGGCACGCACGGCTGCTGAATTCACCGCGGCGTCCAGGCAGCCCAGCGCTCTGCTCGGAGAAGGTGCCCGCCGTCTGCTGGTTGTTGGGCACGAGTTGCGTCGTGTGGTCATTGAGCCACGGCCGAAATGCAGGCAGAGGGAGCAACACGCAGCGACTGTTCCACCAGTGTGGCCGCGTCATCGCTGCGGAGAGAGCCTCAGTTTCCCTGGCCACTCCCCGCTTCAAGGGAGGCCGGGGGCCTCTTCTACAGGAAGCAGAAACTCACCAGAGAAACGTGGCGTTGTCTGGGCCTCCTAAAGCACTTCTTGATTCCCAAGTTTTCTCAGGCAGAATTCTGGGGTATAAATGTAACTTAACTTAGTGACAAAATATGATCTGTAGACATATTTGCTATTTTATGGTTCAGTTCGCTTGACCTACAATTCTCATAAAAGCAGTGTTTTATGACTGGTGGTTACCAACCATGAAACTGCGATGGGGATTCTTTAAAACCAATATACACACGAGTGTGAAGTGTATTTGCTGTTTGAATCGCAGAGAGCGTGCATTTATCAGCACAGCGGCGTCACTTTGAAGGCGAATCATTTGCTTCCCCGTGTGCAGCTGTGTCTTCGTATACGCCAGGGGAACCCCAGATGTAAATGCAGAGCAGGATTTTGTTTACTCTGACACCATTTGATATCTGAAACAGGTGTGAGCGGTCTGGAGAAGGAGGGATCCGTCATCTGTGTTGCCAGACTCCACGGATTCCGAGACAGCTGAGACCTAAGGGAGTTTGGCCCGGAGAAAACACTGGTGACATGCAAACTGTCAATAAACATTTGATGTGCTGTTGTGCAGGGCAGGTAGCAGGCTCGCTCTGCTTGGCTCTAGCCGACAACCAGGACCAATATATGGGATTACGTGGAGGCAGATGTGGGCTCGAGATTAAGAAGAACGTTCTAAAAATTAGAATTGTTTGCAACTGAAGAAGCCAATTGCAGGAGGTAGCTGGTGGTCCGTTGCTTGGGGTGTTAAAGAAAGAGTGGAAGATTTCTGTTCAAGGTTTTATAGAAGAGTTCTGTGTGGCATGCATGGCTGGCTCCCAGGTAAAAGTGGCTGAGGCCTTTTAAGGTTTCTGCAAAGGTGAAGGCATGGGACGCAGAGAGGGCAATCTCCTCCCTTTCTCTCCCCTTCCCCGTGCTTACTGTCAGCACGAGTCACTATCTTCAAGGGCGTTGAAAAGCGCATCCTACAAGCTGGATAACCAGCCAGGTCATTTAAACGCTGGCCGTGGCGAATGGCACCACAGTTTGACTCAGAATGATAGGTACAGAAGGAGGCAGTGATGGGAGTGGGGAAGAACAGCATTCCCGGTGTCGCCGGCCGAATGTTTCCCAGGCGATGATCGCGGGACCAGCATTAGCAAAGGGACAGAGGGGTGAAAGTGGATGGTCTGACCGACCAGAGGCAAGGCTGGAAAAGCATGCTAAGGCTACAGGGCGGAGGGTCTTTTAGGCAATTTGTCAGAGATGCTGGCTTTTCTAGCACACTCCCCCAGATCTTAGTGGTCTAACACAACAAAAAGTTTAACCTTCACTTACGAAAAGCCTGCTGTGGGTCAGTTGACTCTTCTGGAGGGTTCTCCTAAAACTGGTGGACTTGGCAATCCAAGACTCTGTGCTCAGGCATGGTGCGGGGCAGAACACGGGGAAACACATGAAGCATTTTATGGGTCAGACGTGGAAGAAGCATACATCTGAGATTCTTAATGATCTACTAGATAAAAAAAATTAAATTAAAACACACATGATAAGTACATTTTTTAAAAATTTAGATCGAATAGACATAAAATTACTTTACCAAATTGTGTTAAAAAATTTTGAAATTCCTACTCTCAATTTCTAAACTTAAATCATGTGGTCCATAGAAAACAACTCATGGGCAGAACACACTTCCAGTAGTGTTGGCACATTGGCCTTTGGCCTGTTTCCCATTGTAGAGAACACAATGGTATCATCTCGACCTAACTGCAAGAGAGGTTGGGAAATGCTTTCTCTCTGTGCTCAGAAAATGAAAACAGATTGGTAGGCATCTAGTCCATCTCTGCCACAGGGTTGAGATGAAATTAAATTGAATGTATTGCACGCATTGTTTAATGTCCTTTGTTGGCAAATTACCGCCTAAATAATACAACCTGAATACCTTTACATGATGAATTTATTCATGATTTGCTGTGTTTACACAACTCTTTGTTATTTTTCTGATTAAAGCACTTGATACCTTATACTGTAAGTACATTTTATAAATCTAGCTTTCTCACTAAGCTACCTAAGTCCAGAGTCTCTCATTTTCATAACACCAACTCATAGTGCAGGGTTTGGCACATAGTAAACTTCCAAACATTACTTGTTTGTAGGATGAAATAATTAGCATATTAAGCATAACGTAATCTGATCTGTTTTAATAAGATTTATTTATCATCTATCATCAGGTTGGAAGAAGACTTGAAAAGGAAGTTGGTAAGACAGGAAGTAAGACTATCACTTAGGAAATAGCTTTTAGTAATCTCAGTGATGTTAAGGGTCTTAATTAAAAGGGCATGAAGATATAAGTCATGCAGTTAGACACACCGGTGTCTACAGTTTGAGTAAATGGGATTTATTCACTGATTGGTGATATAAGATGAAGACTGTCTCTTGGGTTTGGGGTTACATTTGACAACACCGACACAGAGGAACAAGAGGCTGCGTGGGTTTGAGTGGAAAAGTAGGCTGGTGTGCTCAG